ACTATATATTTATATGCATAAATTTTGTTAATAATTTGCTTGTATGTAGCATGTTGGCAGGATGACCCAGAAAGCAGGCCTGACATTCAATATGTTGAAACAAGGCTTAATGGAATGGTTTCAAGCTCAAATATAGTTGATAAAGAGAAAAATGACAAGCAACAAAAAAATGAGGATAGTAGTTCGTTCAGTCATCCCAATACTATTTTAACAGAACCTACTAGTATTGATTTACTGCAAGCAAATTTTGATAATATATTGTCAAAGAACTTTTAGAGTAGTCAAAACCCTGAAATAATACAGACAGATCCTGGGATAACTTCCTACTTTCAATTCTTATTTATATTTATTATTATTATTTGTATATGTATAATTTAAAATTGTAAATAATTTACAGTTCACCCTATAACAAACCTTCCATCCTTATATGTAATTTTTCTGCATTTGTTCATTATAGATGGTGTTTACTAAGATGTTTGTTATAGAGAGGAATTAATTATAAAAAAAAAAATAAATCAGATATTATGAAAGCTTATTTATTAAATTATGAGGCAAGTTAAATAATTAATTTTATTAACTACTAATGTGAGTAGTTAAAATGGAGAATTGCTGATGGATAATTTTTTTGTCACATTTATTTACTTAAATATAAAATAATAAATTTATAATAAATCCATAGATATGAAATTCAAAGTAATTTATATTTTACAACAAATCATTTTACAGGACATAACAGACATACCAATAGAAAGCTCAGATTCTTCAAACAATGGAGTTAATTTGGAGCTAGAATAGAGGTGTTTCAAGTATTTAAAAATATTTTATTTATATATATAACACTTATAGCATAAAGATAATCAATGGCAAACAAGTTTTATTAATTTTAATATTCAATCATTAGAAAAAAGAAATGTTTACTCTGGATATGATACATTGGGTAAGTATGAGTATTACTGTATTAAAATATTATGTATCATGTGCAACCAATGAAATCGCTTCTCTCTATAAATGCATGCCCTCCATAAATGCATGCTTTTCCTCAGTCCCAAGGGAGGTGTGTGCATTTATGGAGGTCTGACTGTAATTTGTACTCTTAACAAATAAATTGCATCGTCCAGATGTGGTAGGTAAAACCTTGCCACAATGGATTATAATTAATTAAATTTGTGTTATAACATCTGGAAACAATGAACAAATAAAAAATATACAATTTGCATGTGAATTGTACATTTGCCTCTAGAATTATGTAGAATATACATCATAGTAATAGAATATATATATGTTACTATACTGTTTTCCAGATGAGTGAATTTTAAAAATATTTGTTTCATAGGTAATATCGAATTTTAAATAAAATTTTCTTATGTCTGACCCATGCATTGTAGATTAAACTAAGGAAAATAAAAAAATGAAATGAAGATAAATAAAATAAAGATACGAAAAATTACATAATTTACAAGCAAAATCTTAAAAAAATCATTTGCAAAATCTAAGGATTGAGTTGGCTATCTGTCAATTCAATAGAATTAACCCTCTCACTTCTATCCAAGATTCTGGTAGAATTCTGTGAAATAGTCAAGGCTTCAATAAGTCATTAAACCTCCCATATGCAATTTCAAGTTTGAATTTTCATCTCATTATAACCAATAAAGCTTGGGAGTTGGTTTAATCTTTCTTGTGAAAGAGGAAGTCAAGAACAATTATTTATGATTCATAGTGAAACTTTATCTTTCCCAATCTAAAAACTTGCTGTTGTGTGCTTGGTGCTGTTGTAATTATTAATTAATCTAAAATAATATATTAATAATAGTTTTTCTTATTAATCGATTCACACCCAAGGTCAACCTTTTATGTGTTTTGCCCTTTCCTGGTGGTTGATGTAGACAGTTATTAATAATTAATCATAATAATTGTTTATTTGCATTTGACGGACTTCCTTTCTCTGATTGGTCGATGCATATTGTAATATTCTAAATTACTCTTTTTTTTTTATAAATAAAACCTCACCATTAAAAAAAATTCTGGAGGCAATCCTAATATAACATTAAATAGCATTAAGAATATACATACACAATCAATTTCTTTTTTGAAAATTATTTTACCAATAACTTTTCTTGTAAAATAGTAATATTTATATTGAAAATAAAACTTTTTAAAGCTAAGGATATTAATATTAATAAAGCTAGGAATGATGTTCAAAAGATTATTAACACCAGACAGAAAGGAATTAGTATCGAAAATTTATGTTGAAATGTGTAATATTGCTATTTCAACAACTGCTTCTGACAGAGAAGAAGAAAAAAGTTATTTTTTACAATTAGTCTATGAAAACAAAGAGCTTGCAGCAAAAGAAAAAGAATATTGTAGAGAAAAGTATATTTATGCTTTTGAATTAAATAATGCAATTGAAAAATGGGGAAAACCAAGAGAATGTAACAAGTGCAAAACAACAAGATACTCTCATAAATTTTGTGAAAAGTGTATTGGTCTACACCTACAGAGTCTTTTCAGCACTTGGACATCTGGAAATGAAATAATTGATAATTTTGTTCAAAAATGTCAACAGCTTTCATCCCTTCCAGATAAAATTATAGAATGGATACCTTATGAGCAATTTAAAAATATACAAAAGTTAACAGAAGGTGGATTCAGTTCAATTTACACTGCCAGGTGGACAAGAGGATGTATATATGATTATGATGAAAATAAAAAGGAGTTTAGTTATTTTGGAGATCAGTATGTAATATTAAAATCATTAAATAATTCAAGTAATCCAGAAAATCCTTTTTTTGATGAGGTAATTGATTAAACTACTAAACCAAACTATTTATTTTAAATTAATTGATTTTACTTATATAATTAATTACAGGTATTGAATTATTGTAAAATTAATCCAAATTTAATTGTCCCTTGTTATGGTATAACTAAATCCCAAGATGATGGAAATTATGTGATTGTTTTAGCTCATTTTCAACAAGGGAATTTAAGAGGTTATCTACAAAAAAATCATTCAAATTTAACATTAAAAAATAGAAATATTATTTTTAGCTCTTTATGTAGTGCATTATATTATATACATGAAAAGGATTTAATCCATTGTGATCTACACAGTGGTAATATATTAATAAATGAAGGTGGCAGTGTTCATATTACTGATTTGGCATTATGTGGACCAGTTGAACAGTCATCAAATAAAATCTATGGAATTATATCATATTGTGCACCCGAGCTATTGAGAGGCAAAAAGAACACAAAGAACACGAAAGAAACTGATATCTATAGTGTTGGGATGTTAATGTGGGAAATATTTGTAGGCCATCCACCATTTGATGATAGAGCTCATAATCATCTTTTGATTTTTGATATATGTGCAAAAGGTTTACGACCACCAATATTACCTGAAATGCCTGGTGATTATGTGCAAATGATGCAGAAATGTTGGGATGTGGATCCATCTAAAAGGCCAACAATTGGTGAGCTTCGGGAATTTGCTCTGAATAAATTCAATAGTATCAATATTGGTGGTAGTGGCAGTGATGGTAGTAATAGTAATCATAGTAATTCACAACAAATTCACAAATCACACCCATTGGCATATCATACAACTAGAATATTATATATATTAAATGATAGTAATTTTAAAGAAAGTTTAAGTGATGATAATGAGACCCCCCAAACATTTAATAGTAATAATAATATTAATCCACAAGAAATTCACAAATCACGCCTATTAATATATCATAAAAGTAGAATATTAAATATATTAAATGGTCTTGATGTTAATGGTAAAAACTTTAACTTAGATTATGAAGCTCCCCAAACATTTAATAGTAATGATGGAGAATTTAAAATTGAACTACAAGAAATTCCTTCACCACAATTATCCAAATCAACATCACCTCCTCCAATTAGTCAAGACAGCAAAGAAACAAAGGATGAGCCAAACAATAGAATAATCAATGAAGACAAAGAAATTATTGATAAATCTAATGATAATTGGTTAGAATGGCTAAATGAGGCAATTCAGAATGAACATATTAATTTTCATGAATATAGTAGATTTAAAAATCTTCAAAAGATTGGTGATGGTGGTTCTGCAAAAGTTTATAAAGC